ATGCACACACACACACACACACACACACACACACACACACACACACACACACACACACACACACACAGATCCCCTAATGGCACGTGCTTATAATCCTAGGGCTGTGGAAGCAGAGAGAGGCAAATCTCTATCTCTGAGATTCACTTGCCAATCAAACTAGCCTATCTCAAAGTGTAAATAGCACTAGAGAAACACCCTGTCCCCAAGATTGTCCTCTGGCCTGCACACAAGCATATACAAATACATAACATAAAAATTAAGATTCAGCACTACCAGGCTCCTCTAGACCAATTTAAATTGAAATCACATGTTGATTAGATAATTTTTAACTGAATTTTTAGAACTGCCATCAAGTCAATTGTTAGAAAGGTTAAATCTATAGTTGCGCTGTCCAGTGAGACTTTGTAATGACTGTTCTGCAGTATATGCTGCTCCATATGGTACTAACAAACCATGTGTGATTTGAGCACTTAAAGTGGAGGTAATGTGTAATTCAATGAATTTTAAACTATATTAATTTTACCTTAATTAGTCACAAGTGGCTTGTGGCTAACTAGATACTGCCTAACTATAATCAGTTTTAGTGTGATAAGATTGATTATAGGATTAGGGTAAGAAAAGTAGGGAGGAATGGCAAGTTACCCTTCACTGTTAGTGCCATCAATAATAGACATTTGAGGTACTTCACAAATAATGAAATAGCTCAATTTCTTACAGAATAATTTTTGTGTAAGGTTCCTAGTATATTACTTTTCTGTTGATGTTATAAAATACCGTGACCAAGGCAACATATAGAAGGAATTTATTTGGCTTACAATTCCCACAAAGCTGGCAGGAACAGAAAGCTGAATGATAGATCTTCAAGCAGGCACAGGAAGCAGAGTGACTGGAAATCTGGCAAGGCATAAGAACTCTCAAAGCCCATCCCCAGGGATGTGCTTCCTCCAGCTAGGTCACAACTTCTAAAACCTGCCAAAACCACTACAAACCAGCTGGGGACAAAATGTTCAAATACTTAGAAGCCGTAGGGGACATTCTCATTCAAACCATCACATGTAGTGTAAGCTATTATGACACTTTTAATAAGCATCTATCACCAATAGTAACATGGGTGGGCCTGATGGCTTATGTCTGTAATCTCAGCCAAGAGGATTGTGGGTTTGAGGCCAGACTGTCAACAGAGACTTTATTCCCCAAACAGACAAATTTATTGAAAAAAGTAGTGCCATTAATTGTGATAAGGGGTATTTCTGATTTGTAGTGGTCCATGAAAACATGTGGCATAAGCTGAAACTTAACTGTTTTCCAGTACTGTTTTTGACATAAAAATGCTAAAGAGAAGCAGTTGCTGGAACTTCCATTTTTATACCACTGATGACTTGTTTTTCACTTCTGTCTTCAAATGCATGGTAAAGGTACCAAAACGTGAGCATCGTCACTGTAGTCGTACTTGATGTTTTCCTCAGTCTTGTCGTGCATGGTTTTTGTGTCATCAAAATCTTAATGTTCTGAGAGAATGTGATACCTTATGCAGGCAAAGATACTGTAGCCCAAGAAAAACCCTTTCCAGCCTTTTCTATCTCCATTCCTCCTTAGATATATCTGTAATCTTGAGTATCTGTACATTCTAATTTGTAATTAGTCCTAAGTAAATACTACTTATGGTCTCACATCCATATAAAAGTAATCACAAACTGTAAACAAGTTAAGTGGAGTCTGGAGTATTAAAATCTCAATCAAAGCAAAATAACAAAGGAATTGATAAATAACCACAGTAGCTAACTTCAGGGATATTCATGTGTATAGGTTTTTTGTTTGTTTGTTTTTTGTTTTTAAGACAGGTTCTCTGTAGCACATGCTCACCTGGAACTCACTATGTAGACGAGGCTGGTCTTGATCTCACAAAAGATCACTTTGCCTTTGCCTCCCCCAGTGCTGGGATGTTTAGATGTGGGCTACTATATGCCCAACCAGGATCTACTTTAAAATCAGATAAAGGAGTTGTCTCCCATTGGCTACTTCCTCCAATTGGTGTGGCCTGACGCAGAACGTGGCCTACGAAGGGGCTGCTGGGAGCCATCGGAATGGAAGCTGTGAGCCGCCGGTGTGCCCTGCAGCTGCTCAAGGACAGGATGGACTGACTCTTGTGGACCTGGGGCGAGATCGCTGTCCCCTGAGGCATGCGCGAATGCTAGCAGAGAATATGGTAGTCGTGCGCAGTCTGATAATGGCGGGCTCTGAGCTGAGGGGGGTTGGGAGGGGGGCTAGGCACTGGGTTCTCATTCCTTTGTAAGTTAATAAGTGCACATAAAATATATGGTTTCTCTGGGGCGACAGGAATAAATTAAACATCTAAATGGAAGGGGAAGATAAAATAGACAAGTAGGCTGGATTTTAACACTATCAACTTTTACTTTAGGGCCTTTCTCAATGAAATAAATGTTCTGCATTTGAAATGGATAAAACTCCTTAATTACGTGCAAGATTGTTCCATTCATGAAATCTGCTTTTATAGTAACCCACAACTAAATTGAAATGAAAATACTGTTACAAGAGTAAGGAATATAATACAAGCTGCAGTTCTCTTATGCTAGGATTTATATAAAAATCTTGCAAGGAATTAGTATCAAAGAATTTGGTATCATGGTCTTGATATTACCAAAAATTTAGTCCAATTGAACAGCATTATTCATTTTCTTCCGCAACTACCAAAACACAGTCGTCGTTATAAGGTGATTGGGATGCTGTTGAAAAAACTGTGGTGAAACCAGAGCCAGAGTTTCTTTTGTAGAGGAACCAAATGATTAGTCCAAAAACTGTCAGTGTTACTGTGCCAGCAATCACCAGAGTTGATATTAAAATGTGTTTATCTGAAAAGGAAAACAGCAAATATGGGAGATCAGGGTATAGAAATTGTAATTGCATTTTGTAACATATCTCATCATGTATTTGTTTATACTTCTCAACTGATGAGTAAACCAGTTATACATTCTCTACTATGCAGATTGACATTTCTGGTCCCCCAAAATGGCTTAGCACGTCAAGCAGAATTGGATCCCCAGGGTCCCCGTGGTAGAGGTGAAAGAGAACTGATTTCTTCCATGTAAGAGCTGTGACACAGGTGCATATGTCATCGCACACCCCTGTGCACGTACGCGCGTGCGTGCACACACACTACAAATAAAGTCGAATTTAAAATCTTTAGTTGAGGGGCTGGAGAGATGGCTTAGCAGTTAAGAGCACTGGCTGCTCTAGCAAAGGACTTGGGTTCAATTCCCAGCACCTGCCTGGTGGCTAACAACAATCTGTAACTCCAGTTCCAGGGGAATCCAGCACCTTCTGACCTCCGCGAGCATTTTATGGCATGGGTGCACTTAACACACTTTCAGACAATACACTCATATACATAAAATTGAAAAATCTTTGGTCGATATTTCTTCGTATGGAAAGTGTACTTGAAAATTCCAAATATTACGGTTTTGTGCCCTACTGAATATTTTACAGTCATGTCTTTTCCCTTTTCCTTTTTGATCCAAGTTTTAAAAGAAACCCACCTACTGTTCTCTTCAGGACTGAGTGGGGTCTAAAAGTCCGGCTTTTGAGATATAAGATTTTCTTCACAGAAAAAGTGCTAAGGGAGGTGGGGCTCAGCAGTTAAGAGCACTGGTCTTGCAGAGCACCCAGGTTTGGATTCTAGCACCACACGGCAGCTAACAACTGTCCATAACCCCAGTTCCAGGGGATCTGATGCCCTCTTCTTCCACAAGCATTGCATGACACAGGTGCACTTGTATACATGCAAGCAATAGATTCATACACATAAAATAATAAAGGATTATTTTTAAGTGCTAAGCTATAATACCTTGCATTTTTGTTTTTCTTCAGGTAAACACTGTATTCCCTAAAGTTTTGTAAATGGGTGAAACTTTACCATTCTTGCCCATT